AAAGTTATGTATGAAAATCAAAAATATCTATTATATTATATATATAATTCATGAGTCAATCAATAAAATATAATATGATTTAAATGATAGATTCATACCATTTATAACTCATAAATGGTTTTGTATATTAAGAAACTGTCGGAAATGTCGAGTCCGGGGAACAAAACATATGTAAAGTATTGACACGATTTTCAGTCACAATATGTGTATACTTATGGGTTTGCGTTCATATCATATGCTGACACACAATACATGGAAATCTAAATGTTTTCATGAATAGTAAAAAATAAAATATAACAAAATTTTGTTGAATTTTCAAGTCATTTATGAAAATAAAGGAATCGTTTTGTTTTTGTTTTTCTATAGACGAGTCTATAAATTATTTATGTATTTAAGAAAATAATTGAATTAAACATTTAATTCAATATTCAATGCAACAGAATATTAGATTAAAGTTTGCGTTCATTAATAGAAAGGAGAAAATCAAAATGTATATTGAATTACATGTTTTGCTTTTTTAGCAAATTTTAATTATGCCTTTCATTTAATTAAAGTATGTAATTAGATTTTATCATTAAATGTAAGTATTTGTCGTCCATACAAACCTTTGTATGAATTCATGTTCAAACAAATGCCAAGAATTGTATTTATGAAGCAATTCCTCTTTTAACAGAATATTCATATAATGTTCATATAAAGTGTGACATCTGTTACACATATTATATAAAAGTTAACTAATTTTTCAATATTACTTTATCGTTTATTTATGCATATTAATTTAATATTCAATCACGATATTTCAAATGTTATTTATCTATATCATAGAATCTATGAAATAGATGTTCAAAGAAATTAGGGAATTTTAAAATCAAAATATGTTATATTTATTATCATAGCTAATTGTTTAACGTTTAAATTTTTGCAATGAAATGCTTAATCGATAAATGAATTCATTTATAGTTATAAAAATGAGATACAGTAACTATAAAATAATAATCAGAATACTAATGAGTCAAGAATGTATTGATTGAAAAGTATCTAGGCAATTGCGACAATTGACTGTACAGTAGTGGTAAGTTTGTATGTGATTGTGAGTGCAATGCCTCCTATGGGCGGCAATAGTAGTCCGTAACTCGTAATCATATGAGTTGTTATGCAATAGTATTGTTGACAACAAACACAGCGAATGACAAACAGTTGACTCATTTGGCACTCATATGGACACTTTCTGTACTGTGGTACCGAATTCACCACTGGGCAAACACCGTTAGTAATGTGCAAACCACCATACTCACCTGTCAGAACAGCACTGACGTTACCTGCGTGTCAACTCTGTTAACTACCCACTCTATCCGGTGATAATGGGCGAAGAGGTGGCGGTGTTGATGGCACTGGAGGGCCGGGTATTGCACTCATTGACCAATAACTATATCCTACACGTGTTTGTGATGCTACTGATTGAGTACATGAATACCCTGGTACTCAACTCGACACTGGTGTCCACACTCGTCATGGTGTGGTTCGGGATGGTATAGTTGATGTTCGTGAAGAGCGGTGAGCAGTGGTAGTAATAGTTGCTGAACCAGGTGTTCAAACGGTAGATAATACTGAAGGTGTTGTCGGATGTGCACTATATGGCCAGGTGGGAAAGCGTCATATTTGTTATCAATTTGATTGTCTTTTATTTAATTAAATATCATTTCCGACAATTTATTACAACTCAAGAGTGGAATACTATTGATATATATTTAGTCATCTTCTGGTTAATCAGATATCACTGACCGATGATCATCACCGCCTCTTCAGTGCCTTTCCATGTGTTCATCAATTCGTGACAAGACATGAGTTTTTTTGGTCAACACTTTTGATAATCTTTTTTTTGTTCATTTGTTTTTCACATTAATTTGACTTTTAATCAATTTTATTGATAGTTATTATCAGGTGTTAAGAGTCCATAAAATGTTCATTGCTTTCAATGGAGATCTTTGTGTCAAATCTCTTATCGCTATCTCTTAGTGATTAGAGATATGTGTGAATCCGTGTAACAACTGATCTCATGTCTGGACGACTGGCTATTCTTCATGTGTTTGTA